CCCAGCTCTAACCCCGCCAGAGCAGGCCTGCCTGTCTGGGGGCACAATGCCTGCTCTGTCCATCCACTCAGTCGTGCCACCCAGCTCTAACCCCGCCAGAGCAGGCCTGCCTGTCTGTGGGCACAATGCCTGCTCTGTCCATCCACTCAGTCGTGCCACCCAGCTCTAACCCCGCCAGAGCAGGCCTGCCTGTCTGTGGGCACAATGCCTCCCCCTTGGCTTTACCCCATACCATGGTACTCCTGCAGTAGCCGCTGTCCCTGTGTGTGGTGCTGAATGGGCCAGGCGGACCATTTGCTGTTCCCATGGCAATTGACCCCGACCCCAAACATCCCCCCCCCCCGCCACCCGCCAAACACACACACAAACACACACACACACACCTCCATCCAGTGAATGTCCACAGAGTGTTTGCCCTAAGTTGATAAGTTCAACATAGAGTACCTGTGTGTTTCCTGGGCAATGATGGGTTTTTATGACCGACATAACCAACATTGTAATCCCACTCATCTTAACAACATTCGGAATTTGATGATGGATATTTTTGTATCGGATGACTTCTTGAACATTGTTAATGTTAAGTAGAAAGACTGTTACCGGATAGAGGTGAGTGTGCAGCACAGACCCGGCTGTTCTAAAACAATAGGTGTGTTGACCTAAAAAAGAAAAAACATTAGTATCCTTGTTCAGTTGTTTACCATTGATTGACATATGACTGGATGAGCTCAGTGGATGAAGGGACATCAGCGACTGTCTGTTGGGTACAGAGCCATACGATTGGCTGACATTTAGCTTCTATTACATGTGTTACTGACAGCTTTTAGAAGGACAGCGTGCTAATTAACACGGGGCAGTCTGGTGGCTCGTGGGGGGGGGGCACCATCACCTCCCACCTCCACGGCTGGCAGCGGCAGTTCCACCCCTGCACTGTGTGGGGGGACTTTGAACAAAATCTGTGTTTGTGTGGGTTTTCTGTCACAGTACTAATATGTGTGGTTTGGGTGCCTCTAAACTGCCCTTTGCTACCTTTCGAGGGACGGTCTCCTGTCCAGGAGCTTCCCCTGTCTTCTGCCAGTTTAGTGAGTGAGTGGATGGATGGATGGATTGATGGACTGACTGACTGATTGATGGATGGATGGATGGATTAATGGATGGATTGATGGCCTGATTGGATAGATGATTCGATTTGATTGATTGGATGGATGGATGGATGGTCTTTATTTTAGAATGCAGTTGTAAAAGTGCCACCCCAGTGATGCCCTGTATTCAGATCAGAACATTTAAAAAATGCAGAGCCTTCTATGCCCTGTGCTAGGATTTGTCATTTTTGTTTAATCTCTCATTGTTACTGTCTTGTCTCGTCATACTTATGCACCCTTTATACTTACTGTATGTCCCCTATTCACCATCTGAGCTTGGCGTCCATGCTTCTCTCTGCACGTTATTCTCAGTATAATCCTGCATGTGGCAGAAACTCGAACCCGGCACTCTTCTTATTCCAGTACTGTTGAGGCATTTTTTTTTATTATAATTTATTTTTTGCCCCTCGTGTCCCAGGAAGGGGAAAGGCCTGTGCGGGTCCAGACAGCCACACGGGGCCGGCCAGCGTGGACAGCGAGCCCTCTGACGACGAGATGTTGACCCTGTCTGGCCAGAAGGCTAACGCTGGCCAGAAGGCTAATGACTCCCAGGCTGCAAGCAAGGGCAAGGAGCCAGAGGCCCCTCCCCCTGAGGCCCCTCCCCCAGTGGAAGTAGACCTCCTGGGTCTCGGCGATGGTCCTGGGGACCAGGCCTTCGCCTCCTCCCAGCCCCCAAAGCAGCCCCCGACAAACACCGACCTCCTGGGTGACCTCTTTGGGGCTGACTCTGGGTCCACAGAGTCCCCCCCCCAAAAGACGGTGCCCCCCGCCTCCCCCGGTGTCTCCCCGTGTCCCAGCCAAGGTGGGTTTGCCACTGCTTCCATAACAGGGCACACTTTTGATGACATGGGTGTTTTTGGAGTCAATGTCGTCTCTCCATAACTCTTAGGTTCTGCTCAACAGGTTTCGATCCGTTTGGGTCTGGCACGACTGTGCAGGAACCGAAGGGGCCATTCCTGGACCCAGGTAATGTCTTCCTTTGCTTGCCTTTCCTATACCGCCTAGCGTGCAGGATATGATTATGGGTAGAGCATGTACAGCCCGGCACTCTGCCAGTACGTCGTCTCACCTTCACCGGCAGTTTTGCAGATAGCCGTTTGTGGTTCGCACTGGCTGTTGCTTATGCAGCATGAAGCGTGCTAGCGAGCCGTGGTCTGTCCTCGCAGGCCGGACGTCGCCAGCGCCCCCCACCACCCCGACCGTCAACGTCCAGCAGCAGAACCTGATGGGCGGCTGGGAGTGGAACAGGCCACCTGCTGCAGGTGTGGTGCCAGCAGTTCTCAGCTAATTCTGTGGTAGCAGAAACTCTGCATCTCAGCAGCTCCCTCTAATGGTACATTTGTGATAGCATGATGAGTCTGACCGCAGTTGTGCACCAATTAGTCATTTTTAAAAATTCCAGTTCTTGTCATTTTAATACTTTTATCAGGTAGTAATATAGAATTTATCAAAATTAATGGATTAGTTAATTTCTTCAACCCCTCATTTGTACAGCTGAATCTTGTTCAGTATATGCATTCTGCTGCAGGTCTTTAATCCCTAAAGCAGCCTCAGAGTGTATTGCTCTGGTGGGGATCTTGGGGATCTTGTGGCAGCAGGAGGGCTATGAAGTCTCTCGCCATCCATCCTGATGCCTGTTTTTCCTTTTGTGTTGGCACAGGAGGTTTTGGGATGGGAAGCAAATCAGCCAGCACCAGTCCCACAGGCTCAGCCCACAGTACGCCTACTCACCAGCCCAAACCCAATACTTTGGACCCCTTTGCTGATCTGGGAGCACTGGGAGGTGAGTTTGTGGCTTCATATTGACTCCAGCTAGAGAATCTCTTTTCACTGTAGGATTTTAAAGTTAGTTGTACATGTGCCCTTTAACTGCTTTTCCAGTATAGAGCACATGGCAGAGGAGCCAACCAAGAAGGGATTCACTTCAGAGCGAGAACCAATCAGATTGTAGAGGTGGGTCCAAGCAACTAGAGGAGGCAGGATCAACCAATCAGATGTCTTGGTCCCACCTCCTCTAGTTGCTTGGACTCACCTCTTCTACAATCTGATTGGTTCCCTCTCTGAACCAGTCATTTTCCGTTCTGCCCTCATAACATTTTGTGTAAAGTACAACTCCCAAGGGATTCCAGTTAATCAAAAGTCTCAGAAACAATACAGATGATTTAGAAATGCAAGTTCACCTAACTGAATATCTGATTGCTGGGTGAAACTGCAGTGTGGGGGAAACCTGCACGATTCTGCCCCCCCCCCCCCCCCAAACTGTGGAGGTTTAAGACCCCTGCACCATCCAACCACGTTTTACCTTTTACTCGCTAAGAAAATGCCTGCAGATATTTTCATGTTTTTTTTTGTTTTTTTTTTCCCTCCCTCAGGGGGGTCTGGGTTTTCCAGTAAGCCCACCACCCCCACCACTTCCGCGGGTGCCTTCCCACCCATGGCATCCCCGCAGCGGCCCCCTTCCCAGCCCGCAGCGGGCAGCGGCGGTTGGCAGTCCTCCCGGCAGCCAGGGGGCGCCTCGCAGTGGCAGCCCCAGTCTTCCCCGCAGCACCGGCCCAACTACAACGTCAGCTTCTCCACTGCAGCCGGCGCCCCTAGTGGTAATGGGAGGCAGGCCCCAAGCTTTGGTAAAGCCACACCCCTATGACATCATAGCTTTCCCCAACCATTTGTTATGTAGATCTGAAGTATAAGTTTAATGGCTTTTATTGCCTGCCACTACAGTCTAAAGCACTGACTTATGAAGGGATATAAGTTTTTTTTTTTGTTTGTTTTGTTTTGTTTTTTTTTTAAACACTGGGGAGGCAGCAGGACTGTGTACATATACTGTATATCACTACAATATCACTACAATTATATATATTTTTAGGGTGCAGTATCATAGGTGCAGGGAAACGTTTTGAGCTCAGTGTGCTGTACATCAGAACAACCAATAGGTTTTACTGGAGTTACTTTGTATCATTGGCCATTAGACAGAGCTGGAAAGTTCAAATCCAGTCCGAGGTTTTGTTTCAGCCAGGCCGGTTGAGTACTCTGTGACTGTGATTCTTTATACTCAACTGGTTGGTTGAAACAAAACCTCGGACTGGATTTGTACTTTCCACCTCTGTAATGGATAACTTTTGTGAGTAACTTTCCCAACACTGATCATTGGTAGCTATAATCAGCAAACATCAAGATAACAAGTGTGAAAACGTGGCCCAGCTTTTTAAAACTTTTGATACTGTATTGCCGCCACCAACCACAGGGCTGAAGTAACCCTAGTTCCAGCACTAGTGGGCAGTATTAGGTTTTTTTTAAATGTTTCTTTACTGCTGATCGTCCGTTTGCGGTGTCACCCCCAAACAATTAAAAGAATTAGGGCAGCTAACATGGACTGTGTTTTCTCAATTTTGCACAGGGGTCAAACCAAAAATGGCAGAGGCAGACTTTGGGGACCTGCTTTCCGGACAAGGCTTTGCTGGAAACAAGGAGAAGAAGGGTCCAAAGACGATCGCAGAGATGAGGAAGGAGGAGATGGCCAAGGAGATGGACCCCGAAAAGCTCAAGGTTTGAGCCTGAGACCTGATTACCGTACACCGTAAATGGGATGAGTAGTGCAAAACCTTTACACTTCAGTGTTGTATAAGGTTTCAAAATTCTTGGAATTTTCAAAGTTGGAAACTTTCCATGGGAATTAGTGGCTAGCCTATAACAGGGAACTGAGATGTAGTTTAAAAAAATACATCTTGATGGTGCTAATAGTGATATTATTGTGTAACCAGGTGCTTGTGAGTAATCATGTGAGCGTGAAAACACGCCAAAATAAGCATCTGCATCTGCAAAACACACTGCTTATAAGTCTTATTCTATGTTGTATTACTCATACAGCTTGCTTTCTGTGCCGTATCTGACAGCTCCCGTGGAGTTCCATGGGGTTCAATATTTCCAAAATTCCCCAGCTTAACTTCCCATGGAGAGGTTCTGGAAAGTTTTCGGAAATTTTCCGCCCCTTTGCAACCCTAGTGGTGTATCTACAGTAGTCGAGTAGGATTTCAGACGCTTATGAGTAGCTTAGAAAGGTCTTATGAGGATGTTCTAAAGTTATTACGGCGCTCTGCGTCTAAACAGATTCTGGACTGGATCGAGGGGAAGGAGAGGAACATCCGGGCCCTTCTGTCTACCATGCACACGGTGTTGTGGGAGGGTGAGACCCGCTGGAAGCCCGTAGGAATGGCCGACCTGGTTACACCCGATCAGGTCAAGAAGGTCTACCGCAAGGCAGTGCTGGTGGTCCATCCAGACAAAGTGAGGCTTGTGCTTATTATATTGTTAGCAGGCCTTGATAAGATTGCACCATTCACCCTACAGAACCTTCTCCAATGAAGTTTCCAGTAGCTTTGTTTTGTCTTACACCCTCCTTGCAAATGTAAGTGAAAAGGATGATTTATGGGCCCGACTAATATTTTTGTCTCCTGTGTTAAGGAGCTAAAAACTGATATCTGAAAATATTTACAAATGTGATGTTATATATTGGCAAAACAAGCAGACACCAGTAGCTTTTTAGTTATACAGCACTTTACCAATGGATTTGGTAAACTCAAAAAGCAGACACTTACAAGAAGTTCTCAAAAAAATAAGTAATGTTCTTAAGGACATTGGTGCTTTATCTGTGCATTTTCCAATCAGTTCAATCTGCATGACTTGACACTGCATGACACTGGAATTGTGAGAATTGCACAAATTAGCGTTTGCATTTTTACTTAGAAGTTTGATTAATTCTGCTTTTTTCCTGCATTTGTAGGTTGAAATAACTTTTTTCCATTGTTCTCCTGTGTTTGAAGGCTACGGGCCAGCCATATGAACAGTATGCCAAGATGATCTTCATGGAACTGAACGATGCCTGGTCAGAGTTCGAGAGTCAAGGGCAAAAGGCGCTATATTGAAATTCAGCTTTTGGGTTACCGGCGAACTCCCTTGTGATGTGATGCCTGATTTTTGGTGGTTTTTTTTCCCCTCTCTGTCACATGGGTTTTGTTGTCACACATAGACCTTAGAGTGCAGATTAACCATGCAGTCTCAGGAAACGTGAGGCTCGCCCATTCACCTGGTGTCCACAACCCATCATGACACAGAATCGGCAGTGCGAATAGTCTTCACCCAGATCATAAGGGGAGAGGCAGTATGTGGTGTATTTTCCCTAGTTTATGGGTATTGCAGTGTACGGTCAGGAATTCTGTTTCTTTGAAACCTTCACGGTAGCATCATGAAGCCAAGAAAATTTTAATGCTAGCAGTCTCAGATCCTTTGTGGGGGGTGATGTTAATTCCTTTGAAGAATGGGAGATTACATTAGCATTACGTTTATATGACACATTTGGCCTGTGTTCATTTGTATATATGTCTTTTTCTGTTTCTTCGCCATGCAAGCTAATTGCTAATTACCATCCGTTCGCGTCCTTGGAGCAATTCCTTTAACTGCATTCATTTACACGATGGCACAGAGTCGGCGTTTAGAAGTGGCCAGATAGCACAGTTGATGAGATTCAAAGGAAAGGTGTGAATATTTTCCAGCAGTATTTTTGTATGTTTAGTGTGTAGACATGCATATTTAATATGCAGGAAATAACTGTTTACAAAAGGTTTGTTTTAAAATTAATATTTATCATAATTATTTTGTTCTTTTTTTGAGTACATGTACAGTATCTTTTCTCCATGTGTTTTTTTTTTCCAATCTATATTATCCTCCTATTTTTCTATGGGAGAAGACAGACGGTTAGTTGTTCCTGCAAAGCCTTAATTCACTCATCAAACGACCTGGTCCAGTTAGGTAAGTGACATTATGTCAGACATTATTTGCTTCACTCATTAGCCTGGGTAGCGCCTTAACATATTCCCAAGAAACTAAATTATGCAATCTCTGTTTTTCTGCTAAACTAATAATTTAATCTGATCAGATATCAGTCCTGGTGTTTGGACTAAAACATAGTAACTGGACATAATTCCCCCCAAAAACACCCCCATCCCAGTACATGCGTCCTGGTAAGGTTTGATCTTTTCTAATGGGAACTGGGCCCCAACTCTAACACTCAATTTATTTAAAAATATTTTTAAGCAACTTCTCTTTAAAACTGTTTTAACAATATATTTATTATAATCATTGCTGTAATTTTACTTTCTGTTGTATAATTTGTGGTATTTTTGTGTTTGAATGTATTCAGGATGCATATTTGGGTGAACGGAACATGATTTGGATGCAGGTCATGTGACACAGATCTGCATTGCAAAGATGGCTTCCCTCTTCCTGATGTACGCTGTAATGCACATCCCTGGTTTCTCATTGCTGTCTGTAGCCATGGAACAGGAGAAGCCCAGGGTCCAGAAGTGT